AAGTTTCTGATTCAATCCAATGAATTGGTTTGAGGGAAAAATCTGCAGGAAACCCATGGATCAACTTCTCAACTGGCACTCCGAACCGGTTTGGTGCGGTGCTCACTCCGGCCTTCGCACTGCTCCGCAATCTCCTCGGCGGTGCCGTCGTAGTGGGCCAGGGGATTGCCAGCGTTCTTGTACTGGTCCAGGACGTGACCACCTTGGAAAATCCCATGTAAAATCAGAGAAACCCAAGCTCACCAGATCGAAACAACGCTCGAGGACCGCTCGGACTTCGCATTGAAAGAGCTGTTCAAAAAAAAGGATTCCAGGTGAGCTGATGCGAAAAAGAATTCCAGGTGGTGAGCTCGCTCCAGTGATGTCAAGTGCTTTTCGGAGCCCGACCAAGGTCTTTTGCCAGGCGGGCGGACAAGAAGATGTGGCTGTCTTCGGCGTCCCATGCAGCCTGTGGCGACCCACGGGATCGGGGCATGGACCCACAAGGGTCCCTTGGCTGGGTGGAAGCCTTGGCTAACAAACTGGGGTGCCTCGGTGGGGGTTCGAAGGATCTCAGCTCCAAGGCATTTCATGGTGTTGACCTTCTCGCCAGACATCTTCCTTGCGAGAAGAGAAGAGAGTGGCGAACTGGTCCACTTCGAGCACAGCAAGTTCGAAGCAAAGAGGCTATTTGAAGAGTCAAGCGAATGCCAAGGGGCTGTGGCAAGCAAATGATCTGTTTGTATCCTGGCAGGGATCCATCTCTATACAATCATACAATTCAAGCATAAGCACATCGGCAAGCTTCGTCTATCCGTCAGTTTCCAATGATCTGAATCTGATCTGTCCGCTACGTATCGTTCTGCTCCAAAATGTCTGTTCTCTATGGCTGCGACTCAGAATGAGCTCCAAACTGGACAAAATGACCAGCATTTGTGGTCGAAATGTGTTGTCTTTTATGTTGACCACTTTCGGTTGACCAGGGACAGCAAAGTTACAAATCTTCGCCCCAGCATTCAATGAGAGGCAGAGATTGTTGAAGCAACTCTGTCTCTGGGTCTCTAAGCAACGATACGAAAATATATAGATACCCGCCTCGCCGGTCTCTGGCCTTCTTTCTCGCACGAACCCGGCGCGCGCGAAGGTAGACTGTTCGGCCCGAGGGCGGCGTTCGTCTTTCGATGTTCGACGCCGCCCTGACGGCCGCGCCTTTGATGGCGGAGACCATGCACAAGCCGACGCCGGTGTTTCCACTGGTGGCCTCGATGAGGATGTCACCTAGCGCTCGGGGACTGGGACCGAAGCGCTTTCCCAGTGCCTCTCTGGGTGCCGCCTGGCTTGATTCGGCCACTCCTCAGCGCGGTGGGAACGACACAGATGCACTGCTGCACCAAGATGAGCCAAGGTCCCAAGAACGGCCCCTCTCTTTCCACATATCATTCCATAGTAAAAAACAAAATCTGAGGCAAAGGTGATATTGTCATATACTATACTATCATATACTATCATTACTATCTATAATCTATCTATTATATATAATATATGTTTCAATCAGAGATCTTTTGCATCGGAACCAAATCTGCCTCACCCCCAAACAACATTGGCCAAGCGTCTTCTCCGCTTCCTCGACCATCCTCTTGGCAATGCGGTCCTTCACGGAGCCTCCCGCATTGAAGAGCTCCACCTGGAGAACGAGCGGCTCGGCTCAGCTCGGGGGAGGCAGCTTCGATCCTATGACCGTTGAACAAGACCGTTGAGGATCAACGGGGGATCACCATCTTGCTGTTTGTTGGAGTGAAGATCCCCCCAAAAATCTCCAGGCGCACGAATCCCTTGCCATTTTTGTCCACACCAAAAACGGGATACTTGGCAGATCTGTGTTCGTCTCCGGTTCGGTGAGAAAGGCTTGCCTTTGCCACGAAGTCGCAGTCAACATCCTTAGAACAATAATGAAAAATGCAAGGAACAGACTCGTCTGACTGATGATTGCCGTGTTTCTGCACTGTGCATTGGTCGGTCCACACTTAGCATTTGACCAAGAAGTTTGACAGACGCGCCATGCGCACCATCCTTAGTGAACTCTCATGGATTCACTTCAAAAAAATCAAGCTTCAAAAACGTCAACCATGCACTGAATGAAAATGCTTGAGCAAGTGGCGGAGTGTAGCCAATCAAATCCAAGGCGGACTCGCAAATCTTTTCATAGCGGTAGGGTCTCAGCAAGCATCAGGATCTTTGAAACTCTGAGCTTCTTGTGTGCCACATCAAACCATCTTTCACGCAAAGAATGGATGGAAAGCCTCATGATCCTGTATTGACAATGGGTCGCTGGCTTGAGGCTCTTGTTGGGGCCAGTCGTGAGCTTCTTGAAGTCATTGTCGATAGTGCTGTCCCAGCCCACCTGAAGCACATGAGTCAGAACCGGTTCCAAAGTCCCTCAAGAAGCTATGGGGTTCCATAGAAGACTACACTGGGGATTACATGGATGTGTATTTGAATAGGGAGACCCCCAAGAAAAATGAGTAGACTTGTCTATGTCCCTTTTCCGAGGTGGTCTTTGGAAGGTCTCCCTATTTCAATACACACCCACATGGATGCAAAGGGATGCAACCGGCACAAACTTGCCATCCTGTGCCCGTGTCCAACTGTGCCGCTATGGGACGTAGTCAGGAGCCCTAATGACGCCCTCCTTGGATTCATCATATGGCATCTTCTGCATCTCTCGCCTTGGCAAGGGAAAAAACTTCAAACGAAAAGGGATGTTCTGAAGCTTCCAAAAGGATCCAACTTGTCTACACTGAACAGTGACACTGTAGATGGACGGAACATCTGCACCACCTAAAGTTCCCAAGACATGGTGCTGGTCTGGAAGAGTGTTCCAAACAAAGACCTCCCAGTTGGACCAGCAAAACAATGCATGCCAATGCGAAAGAGGGCGGGTGTCCCGAACGGTTTTTCACTGGATGTTTCCTGTAAAGCGCCCCGAACGGTCGCCGCCGAGATTCGCTCGTGCAATGACTGGATCCACCGCTGCGATGAAGCGAGCTTGAGGCAGCCTAGACTGCGGGCTGCGTCCTATCAACGACCGTCTGAAGGCTGCCTGAAAGAGGCTGTTGTCATGTATGACGTGTAGAACGATTGGTTGACATAATGTCTTCTTACCCTTGGATTATCCTTAGTCTTTCTATGTTTTCCTCATCCTTTTTTTCCCATATCTTTGGTGTGTATGACGGTGTTTTAACTCCAAATGCAAACTCAATGTCCTATTCTTCTAGGACCTAGGAGGATCATTAGAAATCAGATTCCATATAACATCATATAATTAACTGTAACTAGTAGGATACACTAGGACCAGGATGGTTGGTTCACACACACATCCGCTCGTCGTCTTCGCTGCACCGCTGCTTTCGCTCCACTCGTCTTTCGCTGGGTTCCATGGCCCCGCTCGTGCCACCCTGCGCAGCGCGACTCCTCCGAAACGGGACCTCAGATAGAAGAAATGATTCTCATAGTGATGTTCATTGATAATGTATGATCATGTGTTAACTAATGATCGATTCAGGCGCTTGATTTCTCCGTGCAACATATATCATATATCCATACAATAGGTGCGACACAGAACTTCTGCATGTTCCAAAAATAATGTGAGAACACGTGAGAACGATTCTTGAATCGTGTCAAAAATGCTTACAAGGTGCATCACAGCAGGCATTGCACTGAAGAATGGGGGGCTGGCTTACACGATTGCTTGGATCAACAGAGCTGCGGCTCAAAAGCGACGACAAAGGTTTGCAACAAGCGAAATACACAGGCTCTCTTACACAAATGTGTTGTGTATCTTCTTGGCATTGTCACCATTCTACAACAGAAGATAGTCACATAGTCCATTAGTAAATTAGTATCTCAACCACGACATCAAGCGGACCAGCGAAATGGATCCCACGAACTCCTGCACTCGGTCGACGGTGCCTCCGGATCGCCGTAGAGCTGCAGGACTTCAAGGCAAAGATTCTGTCTCTCCTTGCGAAGACATTCTGTACAAGAAGATGTGTACGAGAAGAAGTCGTTCATTTTGTGTTCACGGGTCCTTTTTGGGGTCATCCAAAAGGTCAACAAACGCAACACTCAATCCAGGATTCTCGGGGAGGAATGCAGGCTTGGAGTACAAGTACGAGTAGCAAAAGACTGGAGGTGAACAAACGGCTGATGAACAGTCGTTAAATGATGCAAAACCTGGAAGATCATGAACATCATGAACAGTGCACGCATGAAATGCAGACATCTGACTCCGAACAGTTCTTGGCTTCAACTCCTGCAGCAATGTTGCATGGATGCTTTTTGCATAGAGAACATTAGAGAACTGAACAGGATCTCTCTCGCATGCCCGAAAAACAAAGCCAACAGCTATGTCCCCTCTTCCAAGGCCAACACACAGCCGGCGACCTCTCCTCGTCAGCCGCTTCTGCCTCTGCCGTCATTGGCCTTAGTTCGAAGTGGCCAACCGCTTCGGTCGACGAACAGTCCACCACCACTGCACCCGCATTGGCCGAGCTGCAGACCGGTGGACCGGGTGGACGTGCGTCCAGTCGACTCATCGGTGGACGAGCTTGGAGGTGGGGGCAGGGGACACTTGGGCCGGAGGCCCGAGCGTAAGGGGATCCGTGTTGAAAAAGACGGAAAACCCAAAACCCGCCAAAACGTGATCATCACTGATGAATTTGGTGGCAGGCCCAAAAGAAAAGGGCCACCCCAGCCGCTGGAGCAGCTGGCGGCTTGGAGTTGGGTGATGACAAAAACAGTTTTTCAATCATGTCCACTTTTGCCAGTCAAAGAACGCATCGTTTAATAAACCACCGCGTGGCGCGGTGTTTTGCTGCTTGCTGCATGTGGACATGAGGTTTGACAAAATGAAGCTCAGCATAAAGCCACTTAGCTCAAAGAGCGTGCTTGAGCCACGGAAGAAGAACTATCACACCGTGCTGCGCGGACGTTCGACAGTTGGACCAAGGAAAGCCAACAGCCTTGGCGATATGATTCGCGCCAACTGCTCTTGCCAGTCTGGCCTTAACGAAGCATTGCAGGTGGCTTTGCACATGTTCCTCCAGGCACTATGAGGGTCTTCATGTGAATGTGTCTGTCTTTTCTTCTAAAGTAACTGAATATCGCTGAATATCTCCAAACTAAAAAATCCTGAGCGGAGGACATTGACCACGGCCCATAAGTGAATCATCGAACGCTGCCGCTTTAAGCAAGCGTTCAACGACTCCTGTCATGGAAAAATGAAAAGTCACCATGGCGGGCGACCAATGCCACGTCCTTCCATTGATCATTGATCTCGTCATATCTCGTCTCTCTTGTCCATTACCATCGTGGTCCTGAGCCGCATTAAGATCAGCAGCCGCAGCATTCATCGCCTGGTGCGGTCTTCTCATTGCTGAATCTCGAATGACTAACTGAAGCAAGCAACTCAGTCAGCACCATATTGCCATGACATCCAGAGATCCAACTGAACCAACTCTCTGTCTTGACCCTCCCTCAAAAAAAACACCATATGTATACGTGTATGACATGTTTTATTGTGCTTTCGTTGGCCATCTGCAGACCTCTGCAGACCTCTGCAGAGGCGATCCACTCAAGATCAACTCTTCTTTCGGCCTCCAGGTGCCTTTGGATACTGGCAATCTCCTCCTCTTCTTCGGGCTCGGGAAGATCGCTCCTGGACTGAGGTCTGGCATCGGTAGACGAGGACCGAAGCCCAACTCACCAACTCCAGGTGAAGAAAGGTACCAAAAAGGTTACATATAGCATCTTATAGCATCTTGTAGCCCTGAAATGCACTCAAAAGACAAGTCTTCCTCGTGTTTCTTCATGTTTCTTCTCTACAAGCCATTACAAAATATTACAAACTGCTGGCTTTCAGGGTCCGTGTTGCTTTGGGAGTGCAAGTACCCCTTTGTTGCTTTGGATTTTCCCACCAGCCAAATCCTTTCAACGTCGACTCCCTTGCGGTCGCCCACGCTGAACGCAAGAGCACCTCCCGGGCGAAACGAACGTTGGTGCTTCGTCGGATGTGGTCCTCCTCGTCTCACTCCAGGTGCTGCATCGCTCGAGGTTGGGAGAGGGATGAACCGTCAACCTACGTCCGCCGCTGGTGAGGGGGACGGTGTTTGGATGGTCCGACAATGGGTCACACAGTCGACATACAGAGAGAGAAAGGAACCCATGAAGAGGTAGGACCGGATAGGACGATGAACTTGAGACTTGAGGGGTCTTCCAGGAAACGAAGACCAAGGAAAAAACGATTCTGGATCCATCCATTCAAAGAGAAATAAACCATAAGAAACCATCATTCAGCATTACGCATTAGAGATCATTAGAGACATCCTTCGAAGCAGGCCAATGGAGCAAATATGACCAAAGGATTACGGATTACCAAAGACTACCAGTTGATCACCAACGAAGTTGTGTAGGACATTTAGGACTATATAGTTTGAAAGGACCGAGTTTGGCCTTTCTGGCTCTTCGGGTGTTTCTGCTTTCCGCTCTTCAAAGCCTTAGATGACAAGTCGATCCTCTGCTTTCTGCGAGCTCAACCAAACACGGATCACGCAGGTACATGGGTTGGGATCAGGAGAATTGATTGAACCCAATGAACAAATATGAATCGACAAATATGAACGCGTGTATACACTCCATGTACAGTGGATCTTGTCCTTTGTTCACATCTTTTCGGACAAGCAGCTGGTCGAGTCACCAGAGATTTGTCGCGCCACCTGGCAAGCGACTCAAGAAGAATCCAACATGAACAGCCAAATGGAGGTCGAAGACAGCCCTGGAAAGACCATTTTTCTCTACCAGCAGAAGTTTTTGATGCATGTTCCACTTCCGTGCTTGTTCCAGGGAGTGTATATATACATATGTCCCATCCTCTTGAGATAAGAGAATGTGTTGGAAAATGAAAAGCCAACGTTTATTTGTCTGGTATTGCTCTATACAGTATCGTCTTTAGATATCTTTAGACCAAAATCCTTCACAAAAGTCTCTTCCAAAAAAGAGCTAAGATCTCCTAATCCCATCAGCTAAGGCTCAGCCCCACCTAAACCATCCGGTCCACATCTTCATCTGTTCATCGAAGTGTTGTGTCCCGTCCTCCGGTGAAGCCTGCAGGTTGGGTGAACTCCCGTAGGCAGAGGAGTTGGAATCGCTCCCGGAGCGGCTTCGCCTCAGCCTGAGCCAAAGGGCTTTAGGATTTAGGCTGGGAGACACAGGTCTTCTTGCTCAGTACAGCCGTTGGTTTTTGATGTTTGGGGTTGAAAGAAGGGTTTCTTGGTTCTTTTTCAGTCTCCAGACCGGGCATGGTAGTGACGCTCGTTTGTTGTTACAAGATATTACAAGCCCTAGTAATGTGCGACAGGAGTAAAGCAAGCCTCCACCAGTACCATGGCAGGCCGTGTCTCGCGTTTGGCACCGCGTGTCACACGCCTGGAGTCCGGCACGAATTGAGCATCAAAGCCTGGCATTTTTGGGGAAGGACAGCGCTTGCCACCGGTGCTGGACTGCTGTCCCTCATTGGGTGCCAAGATGCTGCCATGAGGATGATGAAGAACTCCATGAGGATGAAGAACTGGCCTTAACAAAACTTAAGAAAAGTTGCCCAGTTGCAACCATTTCGAAGCCATCGACTGCTCATTTCAGGTTCCAACGAAAATGGCTCCAGGTCTAAATCATCATCCGAAGCAGTCGCCTCACAAGGCATGATGTCTGTGTCGCATACACACACAAAAAAGCTGTCGCAGCCGCTCCAAAAGCATAGGCATCGCTCAAGCAAACCTGATCATCCTGACTCATGACTCGTTTTTGGGACGTGAAAGCGGAGCTCGTGGAGCGTACCGAGCTGGCTCTGTTCGCGTCTTCCCGGACCGAGCTGGCCTCTTCCAGATGCAAGCGTAACCTTCCACGCCGGCGCGCCACAAAGTTCGAGAGCCTCACGCACCAGCGGCGTGCGAGGCAAATGGTGATCGTTCTGTATGTGATATGAGGTGCCCAGATTTGCCCAGAATTCCCAATGAATAAAACGTTTTGATGTGTTCCGTTTCCTCCACAGGAAGACTCACCCTATCTCACCCTAGGTGGCTACATGATGCTACATGCACCTATGGGTGGATCGATTTCTCGTCTCGCTCAGCAGGCTGTGGGTTACAAAGCTGCTAACTTACAATTCTTCAGATCAAGCTCGATTCCACCACTCTTCTTTACGGTGTGCTGGCAAGGAGACCGTCTGTGTTTTTGGCCCATTCCTCCCCACCTCACATAGACCACCACCGGATCCGCACTCGTGATGGACGAGGCAAAGTCCAATGGCCCAACATGTCTGGCATCGTGCAAGGCGGCATACTCCTCACCTCGCGCCGCTTCGCGCCGTTCGTGCCGTTCCCGCCGTTCCCGACGGACGCGCGACGCTCCCGGCCGACACGGACCGGAGTGCCTGCCGGCGGATCGCCGCGCGAGGGCCTCGGACGCGGACCCGCCGCGGAGACCGGCGCCACGGGCAGGTCCGGATGGAACGGTTCGGTGTGACGTCGGGCTCCGGGCGATAAGGGAGGACTCCTGGAGAGTGCGTCAGCGGACCAAAGGTGCGGAAGTGGCAACCAACTCCAGAGATTCACGGTGTAAAAGGATGTAAAAGGTCAAATAAATGTCACTGCATGTGTACTTAAATTGGGAGCTAGGAGGTTCCCCCCCGACACCTGGGTCGACCCACCTGACAACCTTGAGGCTGCTTGGCCCTTCGGGTTTCCCCTTTTTAGTCGGTCCTTCCAGGAGCAAAGTCCAGACCTTCGTCGCTGAAGCTGCGGCCTTGCGCGGACTCCACGCATCGAAGTGATTTGAAGTGGTCAAAACTGTTCTTTGACAGGTCAACATGGTGTCTACAGCTTGAGAATATGGTCACCAGGTGTCTACATGGTGTCTACATGGTGTCTACTCATCCTGGTAGAACATGCAGGTCAAAACTGTTCGTCTCACTCGCCTTTGCGGTAGATCTGGGGTGAAAAGCCTGCTTGGGGGGCTGGCCTCTCGATGGTCCGACCAAAAAGAGTTGTACGTTGCAAAGGACACATTCTGTCTAGATGTGATGCGATAAGTAGAAGTGCAGATAGTACGGCAAAGGCCTCTTCGTAAAGAACCTGGCTGCAGCATTTTGCATGTCCATTGCGTTGAAATATGACTTCAGGCACTGTGTTGCCAACCCTTGTCTCACATTGTTTCCAGCCTCAGCCATGCTTGCTGCCTTGGCTAGGCAAGCAGCAGGCAAGAGAAAGAGTACCACATTGAGAAGCTCCGCGTGGACTCACACAAGGAAGAATACATGTCATGGGAGCCCACAAGCCAAAGGTGTTGCTTGAACTCAGAATTCATGTCCACTCGTCCATCTTTGGTTTCCCACGTTCCTAGTCAAACCATTTCTGCAACCGCGCTACAAATGACCGCGTCTGCCACAACTTGTTGTTGAGCGAAGACCTTGGAAGACAAGGCAAGCAAATGCTAGCAAGCAAAAGCATCCAGAATGTTCCCAAACATCATGCACTTCCACCATTCTATGGCCACCGGCGGGAGGCTCTTTGCATTCAACTCCTAAAGTTCATGTGGCAACTGAAGACAACTGAATGCATCATTAAGGTCACATTGGATTTCACATAAGCCTCCACAGGGCCGCCAGCCCAGGGCCGGGCCCTCCCAGTGGGTTGAAACAGCGACCCAGCCAGCCCACGCTGTCCTTTGAAGGCAGGCCCATCGCGGCAGCGTACCTTTCCACCGCTCGCGATGCCGCGGATTCAGAACCCAGCAGATCGAGTGTCACTTCGGTGGTGGTATCGGTCACGCGAGACGTCTTCTACAGTGGCCAAGACAAAAGAAGTTGTGTTTTTATACTGTAAGTGACTCAAACAAATCACAAAATAACGTCTGCAAAAAAAATGAGGTGTCCAATCCTGATCTTCTCATGCACTCGTCACGATTTTTTAGTTTTATGCAGAGTGTATTTCATGAGTGTGTCTGCTTTCGTTCAATAAACACCACGCACGCAGAGACGCACACCGTGCATGGGCACATCGCCGTAGCTGCTTCATTCTCAGCATTGTCTGAGACCTGCCGCCCGCGAAGTCTCCGAAGTCACACGCTAAAACAGACCCGTATGCTGCTGCATATGCATATGCTAGAAATACCTCTCCATTTGGTTGAGACATCAGGACCTGGAGACAACCATCAAAAAGAGTCTGTCAGAGATCCTAAGGCCTAAAAAAGCCCACTAAGAAGCACGTATACCAAAAATTTACCAAACATATATAGTGAACTCCTTGCGGTTGGCAAAACGCTTTTGGTCGGGGCCTCGTAGTCCAAGAGCGGATGCGGCCGACACGCTTCACGGCCCGTCTTCTCTCTCACACCTCAAGACCGGAGTCTCTCTCACACCTCCAAACCGCTCGCGGTGGCCAAGCGCGGCACGGGGCGGGTCGTCGGTTCCGTCGCGAGTGGTTTGGGGTGCCGCAGCATCGGCCATGGGGCTCACATGGCACTGATGATATTAGGAACACATGAGCAAAAGAGATATGGTATAGCGACGTCTGTCTACGTCAGCAAAACGTGGTCAGTGCTAAGGTACACTTTGCTTCTGTAGAATGCAATCAGCTGGCTGATATGTTGCCATTCAAAAACTGCACAACAACATAGATCTGAGTCGATGCTCACAATGAGTTGGTCCAGTTCCCTCAACTCCGTTCTGCGAATCGAAAAGCTGCCGAGCTGTGGTCGTCGCACCGCACCAGCAAACGGTTTGGCAGTGCTTCAGATGGGTGGCTTCACTATGCTGTGCAGCTTTACTTTTCAGAGATGCTTTTCGACATCTAAAATCTTGTCTGCAGCCAGCTGCTCATTGCTTACTTTGGCAAAGTTCCCCTGGCCCGCGACGCTTCGGACGGAGATGCTACCAGCGTGCTAGCGGTGAAAGCCAAAAGTGCCACCAAACGACAAAGCACCTGGTGCTCAGCGATCTCCAACATGTCTGTTCCGGAGGGAGGCTCTAGCAGCAATTGCACCTGAAGGATCATGTGCTGACCCATGTTCACTGCTATCATGTGCTCATCATGTGCATCCAAGTCGCAGGACCGTTGCCATGCACCACCTGCTCACGTTTCTAGGTGTCTTGATGTGTCTTGATTCTTTATAATCAATTGACTATTGAAATGGCCTGTTTCCTTAAGTGGCTTTATTAATCACATCAGCACAATCTCTTGAGATCGTTTAGAGATCAAGTAAGATGTCGCGCCTGCGAGGGTCTTGGTGGCTCTGGAGGTCCTTCAAACCCACTCTGGAAGCCTTGCACTTTGGCCAAGTATTCCTGAGCTTCCTGGCAGCACGACTTCAAGTTGATAGCTCGACTTCAACAAAGATAGGACACTGCAGAAATGAATGTATTATGTATACTATTGTATACTCGTGAACGTAATTCAATGGACTCCAACAGGTTTTGACGCCTCCCGGTAATGCCCCTGCATCTTACCAGGCTGATCATAACAAGAAAGCACGACTGGCGCCAAGTCGCCTGATTTTCTTTATCCATAAGCTTCTCCGCACTATTCCCCGCTTCTGGCCAAGCGCATCGGCTGATGTCAAACTTCCCATTTGCTAAATACTACAATTTAGCTAGCAACGACAAGACCTCGCATGCTAATAGATCATGAATAGATACCAAATACATCCAAACACAACCCGATACTAAGCTTGTTGGACTGCATGGCCCTTGAGTTGGCTTGAAAGCTCACACTGGAGCCCCTGTCGATCTCGCAATGAGTCATCGGTGTTCCGCCTTCCAGCTGCTTACTGGGACCATACCAGATCTTTGGACCATCTTCGCCCTCAGATCGCCCGGCCACTTCTGGAGAAGTGCTCTGCCACTCACTCCGAACTCACTCAGATGGACTCAAAATGCACTCCACCAGACCACCAGACCTGGTCTCCGTTTTCGTCTCGACCTGTCGACCTCAGTCCGACTGTGTCCCCGGTCCCACCACTCCGGATTGCGCCATCCGCAGCGGTAGCTCCAATCGCCCCAGTCCTCCAGTCCGGTCGACACCGGTCGATGCGTCGAACCGACCAGTGCTGAGCTGCGAACGCATCCGGGCTCCGGCCCCGACTGCGGCGAACGAGTCGAGGGCGGCCGAGGAATGGACGGGTGGACGGGGAGATGGCCGAGGGGAATGGTGATGGCCTCAGACCTAAGAGAGGTGGCCTCTACCCTAAGAGCGATGGGTGCTGTAAAGATATATTATATAGGGTGATGGTGGAGGTTAAATGAGATCCCCTTCATCTTTATTTACACCTATTGGAGATCCTCCTTCTTGTTTGAGATTTCATTGACTGGCTGACTGGTTGTAGTGTACATTCATGAGTACGGTTCAGTGCGTGGCGCAGTTCATTCATGTTCATTCCATACTTGCAGAGGGGGTGTTTATATGTATTTCATACTCTCTCAAGCGGTACAAGCTTGAGGCCAGCACACCACTCGCCCATCCAAATGGTGGATGCCACTTCCCGTTCTTGTCGACGCTGGCGCCTGGCAACAAAAAAGTCGTGTTTGGGGTCTGGCGGATACAATGCCTTGCCACAAGGCAAAGATCAGCAGCTATTGAACTTGTGCAGTACCATCCTGCAGAGCTATCATGCCCTATCCAATCATAGTCTTGTCGGCTCTGCAAAGGCTTTCAGTCTTCCAAGGCAAACAAAAGGTGCTTCTTTTGGCCATTGTCGGTGGCAGTGGGCTTCTTCCGCCAAGTACCTTAAGTCTCCACCGCAGCGTCAATACTACGAGGTGATTTCAAGGTTATTGAAAAGCAGGTGGCTATCCAAGTTCGTATGGTCTGAGATGGTTTGAGTGCTTGCTGTATGCCCTGATGATGTTTCTAGGCGCGCCACCTGCAGGTACCTTGGATTCACAAGGAGTTGCCAATTGGCAGTGTCCAAAGTCGTATTCACATAAATTATCGCTTTAGAAGCTTTCTAATTATATATATATATATATATTGTTCTGTGATGTTCTGTGCATCTCTTCTTTCTTTGCTCTTAAAAACCACCGAACGAAAGCTTTCTCATTGCCCTCTCTTCTGGTACTGGGCCTTTCTGCCAATCAACTCTTATACAAATGATGGAGCCCCGGGCGGCTGATCTCGCGTCTTCTCTCCATCCTACCACAGTGCGACTCATCGGAAGTTAATCTATTTGATGCAAAGCACATCGGAGCTCCCAAAGAAGATCCCCTCACATCATTTCACACACTCCATCACACTCCCATCTCTGAAATTACACCAAACAACACTACAATTCCAGGCTATAGGGAAAAGAACAATAAAACACATCACTCAACTTCTCAGCTGGTTGATCCATGTCGATTTCCGATCTCAACCGGGACGTCGCCTCCAGAGCTCCAAGAGCTCCACGCGGCCGCTCCATCCTGCGGCCGCGACACCGTCCCCCCCTTTCACGCTCGGTGCTCGGTGCGGCTCAGTGCTCGGGTGATCTACCACGCGGTCGGGATCTCGGTCTTGCCGCTTTTATGTTTGTTCAAAAAGCTCTGGCTCGAGTTCTTGCCAGTAGTGGAGCTGCTAGCCACTGAACACTCGAGGGGCGTTTCGACATGTGGTTGGATCGATTGGTCGGTGCCGATGACGTTGGCACCCAGATCTCGGTCGTTTTGATGAAGGATTCGACCGATGGTGAGGTCTGGTGTGGCTTGGCACATGGCCAAAGATTTCGTTTTGGTGGTGGGACCTCATACAAGGTGGGGGATAAGATGACCTTTCATTGCTGGATTGTCACAGGGTTTGGAGTTGATGGGGATGTCCTCTTGAACCCCAGCAGTGATAGTGCCGTTTTCTCATGTGGTCCCGGAACAGCCGATTCACGAACCACTTTGTCATGCTGTAGTGGCCTCGGTGGCATTATTCTTGGAAGCTCCTGGGCTGGCTTTGCTACTCAGGGAATGAATGACATCAGCCCCTTGGCTTCGAAATCGCTTGCGGCCAATTTTGGGCCGGGGGTTGTCACAGGTGACTTGGCCTGTCCTCGAGTCGCCAGGGATTTGCACCAGCTGTGTGAGGGAATTTCGCCAATCCTGGAGGCTGGCTTCCCATGTCAGCCTTACAGTGTTTTAGGTGATCGTCGAGGATCCGCTGACGAGAGGGCCGCGGTCCTCACCTCCATTCTTAGGTTGGGATGGCTGACCCAATGCGGGGGAGTAGTACTTGAGTGCGTTCCAGGAGCTAGTGCCGATCAGTGGGTTCGTTCGACTTTGTCAGCATTCGCCACCAAGATGGGGTTCCAGACCTCGGATGGCATCCTCCATTTAGAACGATTCTGGCCTTCCAGGCGTTCTCGCTGGTGGTGGGTTGCAACACCATCAGCATGGAAGTCGATTGAGATCCATGATCTCCCAAGAAGCGGCTGGCAGAAGCTTAGTGACATCCTCAAAGAGTGGCCTGTTTGGGATGTCGAGACGGAATCCTCCCTTCAATGGACACAGGACGAGTTGAAGTACTTTCGTGATGTTCGCTTTGGGCCTGACTCCCGCAGGCTCAACATGTCAGGGCAAGCTCCGACGGCATTGCACTCCATTGGTGCGCACTTTCGCGCCTGTCCATGTGGCTGCAGAGGTGGAAAATTTTCAGATGCTCGTCTTGCACAGGGAGGATTGCACAGCATCGAGATCCGCTCAGCACGTGACCCGACAGTTGCTCGACACCCTCACCCGCAAGAGCTCGGCTTCTTGCAAGGCATCGATTTGCGCTACCGATATCAGGATCCTCCTGTTGACCAACTCTGCCTCATAGGCCAGGTAGCATCTCCGTTCCAGTCAGCTTGGATCTTCCTACTTGTTGCCCAATCGATGCCCGACTCCGATATGATCGACCCCGAGGGTTTTCTCTTGCTACTTGGACATGAACTTGTTGCACAGTCTCAGGAGAGATGGCTTTTCCCTTCTGATCTTGGCCGGTTTGAAGTCCAGGTTGATTCGCTTGAGGGTGCACCCATCCGCTTCTTTACCACTCAGTTTTCCACAGCTTTTGATTTTGCTTCTGCGCAGGCTAAGCTCGAAAAGGCAGCTGACATCCAAGTGTGGCGAAGTGGGAGGATTGCCTCCCCAGATGCCCTCCTTAAGGCTGGAAACTTCTTCAGTGTCTCCGACCCTGCAGCATCCGACCAACAGGACATCGAGGTTGTGCTCCATTGGAGGGGACGCCAGACCACCATCAGGTGTCGTGCAGGTTCATACGTCTTTGAGATACTTGGTCGTGCCGGCATCAGCGAGGAGGTTGTCGTTTTTCGCCATGCTTCTGACGAACGCCTTCCAGGCGATCAGCCGATTTGGGAATCCAGCACTTTTGAGATTGGCACTTTGCTGCGTGGTGGAGGTGGCCCTACTCTCACTGCTTTACAGCACATCCTCAAGAGCCCGGATATGCAGCGCTGGCATTCTGAAAGAAGGGCAGATGGTCAGATCCAAGCAGGATTCGATGCCGGCCTAGATGATGTTACCGTCACCTATGCTGCTCGTGAGTTGATCTTGTTGTCTGGCATCACCAATGTTCATTTTGTTTCGCCTCGCACAGTGACATCATGGTTGGAACAAGGAGCTGACTCCGAAGTAGATCTTGTAGGAAAGGAATTGTCAACTTTTGATGGCACCCGGGTCATTGCCCTGATCGGACGCAAGAATCACTGGGTCCTGTTAGATTATGAGCTCTTTGACAATGGTGCTGAATGCACTTTGATCGATGGTTATGAAGAAGCACCAGACAAAGAGTTTGCGTGGGTTGGCAACCTCATCCATGAGTTTTTCGGCAGTGGCCCTTTGTCCCAGGTTCGAGCGCGATGTTTTGATCAAAAGGACACAACATCATGTGGTGCCATTGCCCTTCTTCATTTGGGATGGAGGCTGTGCATGTGGACTTCTTTTACTTCGGCTGAAGTAGCCAGTTGGTACTCTCTGCTCCGCTGGGGTGTCGCCGCGCCTAGGTTCCATGGTGGAGGACGCAGTGAGGTTCAAACTGCAGTTGGAGAGTGGCTGTCGCCATTTCTTATTGCCAAAGGTGTTCCTGCGAGCGCTGTTGATGATCGCATTGCCCAGGCTGTCAGGATTTTTGGTGTTGACCGCCTTGCTGCTGCGGCCAAATCTCGGAACCCTTGGGCCTCATTGAAGAGCCTAGGTAATAGTCAAAGCCGCCCTTTCCTTTGGGTCAAGTATGAGGAACTTCGTTCACACATTGAGGCTCGAGGGAAGGAGCAATGGGGAGCGAGCATTGATATTCCCAAACGGAAAGGCAGAGGCCAGACTCGAAAGAATGAGCCAGCTCTTGACACACTCGTTGACCCTGGGAAGCTCATCCTTGTCAAAGGTGTCCTGCAAGGTGGTGGTCATGAGATCGGGCAACTTGCTTTGTCAGAAGTGCGATCAGGAGCCATTGGGGCAGCTTTTTGTAGACCTGACGACGCCACGCATTTTTTTGCAAGAGAGAAAGTCTTTGAGCGTTGGCCCCCTGGCACTCCTCATCATTGGAAGTGAACACATTGATGATAATCGCGTCCATGCTTTGACTGTGCCGGCTCGGTACGCCCCTTCCGGAGCTCCAGTTCTTGTTCAATGCAGGGCATTGCAACTTGGCGATGTCAAGATCGAAGAAGCTGGAGGCCCTGCGCCTGAGGTTGGCGTGCTCCCGACAAAGGTCGTCCGGATCCAGATTTTCCGTGATGAGTTTGATGGTGATTGGGAGGCTTTCACGAAGAAACCAGTTCGTGCTTTGATCGATCGACTTGAGCCTTTGCAGTTGTGTCGTGAGGCTGGTTGCACATCCTCGTGTCACAAATACCACCCGACCGTAGAGGAGAACGGTGTCGAGAGCGCTGTAGTTGATCTTTGGGGCAATCGTTGGGCATCACACGAAGGCAAGCGAGGTGAAGCCAGCGAGGCTGATGTTTTTTCTCTCTTTGTTAGGATTCCTGAATCAGGCTTCAATGGTTTGCACAAAGCTTCCGGCCAGGGTGGCATTTACATTGAGCCTAGGCTCACTGATGGTGCTGGGACTGATGGCGCTTACGCAGTCATCTGGCTTGGCCATCTCTCCGGCCAACAGGTCAGGCACATCGTCAAGACCGAAGAGAAGGCTATTGCGACCACCAGACTTGGCAAGAGGTTTGGCATCCGTGTGCGTGAAGCCAATGCTAGTGAAGTCCATGCCAGGGTTTGCCCTACCAAGCCGTTTCTGCAGGGGAATGTTTCGCTTGTTTTTTAGGGTTGAGCCATTGCCACAAGGTTCGCACCGACAAGGGCTTCAAGATGCCTTTCGCAAGCATGGGTGGGAAACCAAACCACTCCATCCAATCCGAGGCACAGGCAGCAAAGCCTGGGAGATCGGAGCTCGCAAAGAGCCACCATCCGAAGTCTTGAAGCTTGCAAGTGGATTTGTCACAGTCTCTTTGCTGAGATCCTCTGAGCACACCAAAAAGCCCCCCTGCCCTGATTGCAAGCGGTAAAACTGTTCAGCAGATCAAAAGCGACGCAGTCTCTTCAAAGGACAACGCTTGGGGCAGTGATCTCAGCACAAGCGGTGACCCTTGGGCCAAGTGGCTGTCATCCCAGGTACCGTCATCTAGTGACGCCCATGGAGCTGTCAACACCAAGATCCAGGAAGTTGAAAACCGGGTGCGTGAACAGGTTGAGAGCAGCCTGAAAGCCCACATTGGTGACCTAGTGCAGAAGGATGAAGATATGACAAGCCGAGGGGCTGATGATGAGCGACTGACCCGGCTTGAAGATGAAATCGTTGAGCTGCGGGAGCAAGGTGCCCGATTTGAAGAGTGGTTCCAACAGGCAGGTGCGGTTGCAAAGGAGCAGCAGGCCAGATGGGATCATTTCGACCAGCAGTTGCAAAGCCAGGCTGACTTTGGCAATAAGCTTGCGCAGTCCCTTGAGACCTGTGTAGCCAGAGTTGCTCAACAGAACGATGTCATCCAGGGGGTTTCCAATGAAGTCGGGGGACTGAGGTCACAGCTCGACAAATCCTTGGACCAGTACTTTCAGAAGCAGGCAGCGCAAATCGAGGCACTCCTTGGCAATGACACCAGGAATGCCAAGATTGCCAGGACAAGTTCTTGACTAGGACAGCCTGGGCCCTCCAGAGGCCGAGGAGGGAAGCCAGGTAGTCTTCTGTGGCCGATGAGATGGCTCTTCATCCTTTGGGTCATGCTCTTTCGAGTTGGGGAGGCCTCACTGCCAGGACCTCCTGTCAAAGTGGGAAAGTGTGCAGGTGGGAAGCCTTTGCCGGGTTCTTCTTCGTCAGCGCGGCCCTCAAGGGGGACTGCGATTTCCGGTCGGGGTGACTCACTTGCCAGCATCCCATGTGATGATGATGGTGCACCACGCGATGAAGGTGCTTGTATGATTGATGAGGGACTTAATGCAGGTGACAAGCCTTTGCCGGGTTCTTCTTCGCCAGCGCGGCCCCGCCAGGGGACTGCGATTTCCGGTCGGGGTGACTCTCCTGTCAGTGTCCCATCTGATGACGATGATGCACCAAGCGATCAAGGTGCCAGTATGCTTGATGAGTTGGAATTCATTCCATGGACCATCGGGTCAGCCAGGGGGCATGCAATGGGTGTGTGCAACCCCTCTGGCGTCTCTGGAAAGTTCGACATTTTCAAGGCTTTCCCAGAGGGATTCCATGGAGTGGCAGAGACACAAGCTACTGCCAAGATACAACGGCGGTTTAGTTCAGCTATCAGAGGCCCGAAGGACAGTCGCGGCTTCTTTTCCACACATGGGGCTGCTGCCCCACTGCGACCAGGGTCTGCCTATGCCGGGGGTTGGACCGGGGTAACCCAAATCTCGTCAAATCCCCTGAGAAGTGCACAGATTTCATGGCCTGGGCAGGAATTTCAGAGCGGCCGGGTTAGTGTCGCTATGAGCAGATTAGGCGGAGTTCATGTGCTCAATACTGTTGTGTACCTTCCCCCCCGTGGGCCCACTTATCCACGGGCCAGGGAACTCGGAGAACTTTTGCTTGAGCCAATAAGCAAGGAGATTGTCCTCAGCAAAGGTGGACTCAGAGCTGTGATGGGCGACTTTAATGCGGCGCCCGGTACGCTGAGTGCTCACAAACTCTGGCGTCAGTGCGGCTGGGTTGAGGTCCAGGAGGAGCTTTTTGCACGCTTCGGAGTCGAGCCGTCCCCAACTTGCAAGGGATCCTCGCGTCCAGACCAAATCTGGGTATGCCCTGAACTAGCAAGACTACTGACAGCCACCGCTGTTGTTCCCATTTTCCCGGATCATGATCTCTTGCTGGCAAAGTTCCATGTTCCCAATGATGTGGCCTTCGAACGCCACTGGCAGATGCCCACCAAGCTGCCTTGGCATGCAGTCGACAAGCCGGCTCTTGAAGCCAAACTTGACACTTTAGAGGCCCCCAGCACCTCAGAGGACCCCACCACAGAGTTGAAACGATGGGCAAGACGTGTCGAGGCTTGTGTTCGGGATACGGTGACTGAGACCTTCACTTTCCCTAACAGCTGTTTTGGTAGATGCCAAGTTTTGCAACCCCGTTCGAGACCAGTTCATCATCGCATTCCAAAGCATTCCCGCGCCGGAGACTTTGTCATCGAAGATTCTTTGCTAGGGCGGGCCGCGCAGTTATGGTTTTACCAGCTCCGTCGCTTCGAGCATTTGCACAAATGTCTGGTCAAAGGTTCTGGTGCTGCTGAGGCCGTTCTTCAACGACAGCTTCTGTGGTCTAGCATTCTTCGTTCCAAGGGGTTCAGTAAGCGTTTCCATAGTTGGTGGATGACTCGACCACATCCTTTACAGGGTTCGCCTTGTTGCCTGCCCATCGAAATTCCTGATCTTGCCTCTTTTGTCTTGATCTTTGAAGACTATAAGGGTAACTACCAGAAGTTCATAGCTTGGCAACGGAATAAGAGACAGCGAGTCATCCAGGCCAAGTGGGAGGAAGCGCAGAGCTCTTTCTTCAAGGTCACCAAAAGATGCGCCAGGGGGGCCTCTTGAGTCCTTGATTGATGTTTGTGAACAGCGCATTGAGGTTGTTGATGCCAGCATCCAGTTGATCAGGGTTGCTCATCCCTTCCCTGAAGCGGGCGCTTTGAAATGGACCCTTGAAGGGGTTGATGCAGTGGTTACCCCAGCCGCCGACGGCTACATCGTGGAGTCAGACCTTCTGTTGATTGACGGCCAACGCCTGTCTTGCAAGGTCCTTGTTGATGAGATTGCAGTGATTCACGATCGCCTTCTTCGACTTTGGAACGCCAGGTGGGGCAAGCATCTCAACGTCCCTGATGACCACTGGCATCGCATTGTTTCTTTTGCCGCCAATTTTTTGCCTCGAGGCCATTGCCCTTTGCCGGCCATAAGCTTTGACGTTTGGATTCAGGCCGTCAAATCCTTCAAGACTTTTGCCGCTCGGGGCACCGACGGTATAGCTAGGGAGGACCTCCTTTCCCTTCCTCGCAAAGCTTGTTTGGACTTGATCGAGTTTTTTCACAGAGCCGAACAGGGCCAAGGTTGGCCAGACCAATGGCTGAGGGCGCACATGCATTGCCTGGCCAAAAAGGATGATGCTGAGGACGTCGGTTCTTACAGACCGATCACTCTTTTTTCCTTGGCCTACAGGGTATGGGCTGGCATAAGAGCAAAGCAAATTTTGAGTTTCTTGGGACTGTTTCGCTTCGAGCATCAGAGTGGTTTTCTTCCGCATGCAATGGCCTCAGATGTTTGGTTCTTTGTTCAGGCGGAGATAGAAACTGCCTATGCGACTGGCAGCCAGCGGTGTGGTCTCGTTGCTGACTTGGTCAAAGCGTATAACACCATTCCAAGACTCCCTGTCAAGTGTTTTCTGAACACTGTTGGAGCTCCTGAAGCATTGACAGCCTGTTGGCATGATTTCCTCGGAGGTTTGAAGAGATGCTTTGTGGTGCGTAACTCAGTGTCAGATTCTGCGCTTAGCTTCACTGGGTATCCCGAGGGCTGCCCTTTGTCATGCTGCGCCATGGTCTGCCTGGACATAGCATGGCATGCGTATCAGCAAAAGTTTGCACCTGTGGTGCAGCATTTCTCGTTCGTAGACAACCTCGAGCTTGTTGCTTCCGATGTCCGCAGCCTCATTCGAAGTTTCTGTGTGATGGAAGAGTTTAGTCGCATTTGCGACCTAGAGATTGATCGTCCTAAGTTGTACAGTTGGGCTACTAGTTCCACCAACAGAAGAGCTCTGGAGGCAGGTGGCTTTAGGATCCAACTTGAGGCAAGAGACCTTGGTGGCCAAGCCAATTACAGCGCCAAGTCCTTTGTGAAGACTATCACCGCCCGCATTGACGGCATTCAGAGCTGCTTTTCCGATCTGCGAAAGTCCACCCTTGACACGTGGGCGCGAGTACGTTGCCTGTCGAACGCGCTATGGCCCAGAGCGCTACATGGTTGCGAAAGCGTTCGTTTGGGCGAGGGACACTTCGCTAAGCTACGGTCAGGGGCCATGACCGCCTGCAGGTGGAATAGACCTGGCTCTTCGCCATGGGTGAGGATCGCATTGTTGAAAACAGAAATTCTTGACCCCGAATTTTTTCAACTGTGGCGTTCTTTGTGGCTTATTCGGCGCCAGTGTAGCACCAACCACAAACTCCGGGCACTTTGGGCTCTTTTCATGACTAGCGCACTGGCCTCTAAGGCCCAGGGCCCTTTCTCAAAGCTCGTGCATTTGCTCCATGACATTGGCTGGTCCATCAATGAGCATTTCTGTGTTGAGGTGCCGTATGGTTTTCAGTTTAATCTCTTGGAATGTAGCGAAGCTGAGCTCAAATGCCTGGCTGCCTACTTTTGGCGACAAAAGGCAGCAAAGCATGTCAAGGGGCGGCGGAGTCTCGCCGATCTTGATGGCTATGAGGCGGCCCATGCCGAACAGTTCGATCGATCCCTGTCTCGAAGTGACTGTGAACTTCTTTGCATAGTCCGTGACGGTGGTCATTTCACTAAAGACTGCATCTCTCACTTCAGCTCCGAGTCTGGGTTGTGTGACCTTTGCCAAGTAGAGGATAGCAGAGAGCACCGCTTCTTGACATGTCCCAGGTATGTTGGTGCACGTGAGCATTTTCCTGACCTGGCCTCAAAATGGTGGGCTTTAAAGGATTCCCTGGCGCTGCACGGCCTTACAAGTGCGAATCCGTTTAAGCCCTTGTACTGGCAGGCTCTTTTTGCTTTACAGAACTACGAAATTGAGTTCCGTTTCCCTCCTCCGGCATCCGATTGCTGGATGATCTTCACAGACGGCAGCGGAAGCAACCAGCAGAACAAAGAACTTGCTTTGAGTGCATGGGCGGTCATTTCCGCCGACGAGGATGACATCGTTTGCTCTGGCTGGACGCCAGGCCTCATTCAGAGTGTACCACGGGCGGAAACTTGGGCACTTCTTGCAGCCGTCCGTTGGGTCTCCAACGAAAAGGGAAATGCCCACATCTGGATCGATAACCAAGGTGTTGTTGAAGTTGGCAGAAGTCTGATTAGTGGATTTGACTTGCCAGACGAAGTCGAGAACGAAGACTTATGGAGGCAGGTTGAGCTGGAAGTTCACCATTGTGGCTGTAACCTCTGGCTGCACAAAACACCTAGTCATCTTCATCCAGACGACTGTTGCTCTGAGCTGGAAAGTTGGTGTGCGTTCTTCAACGACCGCGCAGATGCTGCTGCACGCTGGGCTAACGCAAACCGGCCTAGCTGGTTTGAGGGCATCTACCGGCGTTTCGCCGATCGATGGCACACTGATGACGAAACTTTTCGCCAAATCAGCAAGGTTCACCTCGAGATAGCTCGCACAGATACTTCATTCACTTCTGAGAGGAAGCCAGAGTTAGAGCCGGTTGACGAATTCGTTGTTTTTCGGGAGCGATCTGACTGCACTAATGCTTTTACCCTGGCTCAACTAGATAGGATTCCGGGGTGGTTCGACTTGCTCCAGCCTCAGGAGGTCAGACATGATCTTCTGAAAGGCTTGCTTGATTTTGTTTGTGGCCTTGAGGGAGAGGGAGGATCAACTGGTTGGGTTTCTTTTATCGAGCTTGCGGTTGGTCTTAGGGCTTTCGTTGGTGCCGATTTGGTTAGTTTTGGTTCACGTGATTCCCCCAATCCTTGGTTGCAGGTCACTTTTGCATCCGAGCTTCAGCTCCTTAAAAAAGCCTGGCGCATCCTGTGCCGGCTGCTGTGTATAGATTTTTCTGTTGAATGGGTCGATTTGACGAGGGTTCGTATTCATAGTGGCTGTGGCGCTGTGCGAGTGGCTTGGCCTGAGAGGGTTGAGATTTCGGTTTTGTCGGTTCTTGATGCCTTCACTCGGCATCGACCCATTGTGAACAGTCAGGGACTTGCCAGGCCGATGGGACTGGCTTAGGTGTTCTGGGCACTCCTATGGATGCTCTCTCCGCCGCGCTCAGCCGCGGAAGACGCTTGCCCGAACATCTGTCCGCGTATGTTTGTTCAAAAGAAGTAACAAGAAGTAATAAGATGTAACAAGATGCATTACGAATGTTGGTGTGTTCATGTTGTGTTCCGATGCTGGGCTCTGTAGGGCATACTGCTCGCAGAGACATGTCAGCCTCTGGGTGTGACCACCAAAAGCTTCCATTGGCGAGAACTCCGGCACCGGCCAAGTATTCAGCTTGCCTTGAGGGAGTGCGAAAAGAGCTGCAACTGGTCAAATTGGCTTAACTAGTCTCTCTTCTGTTCTTGCAGTTTCTTCTATTTTGCTTGTTGTATCTGCAATGGTTCGTTAGCTACTCAAACAAAAGAGAAAACAAGTCCCAGCGATTCCCAGCTAGCGACTCCCAGGTGATGAAAGCATTGCGTAATCTTTCCCTTACTAACGTTGAGATACACTTGTCCGATCTTTTATGCATTTGGCTCTTCGCGAAAGCATTGAGGCCAATGCGATGCATAGAAAAGGCAAAGACTCATGCGAGGCTCCGCCGTGCTCTCTGGTGGAACTGCATGCCTCAGAAGCACTGCATGATACATCTGTTTGCTTCCACAAGAAATAAGACATAGGCAATCCCACTCGCGGCTCTTCACTAGACCCTTGCACCAGCGCTGACACAACCTGAAAGGTCTGTGGCATCCCGGCTCTTCACCGAAGAGCGGGAGACAGTCTCCGTGACGCATCGTCAGTGTTTGTCCCTCCACCTGCCGAGGACGCCGATCCCGAACCAGCGCGTATCCGCCCGTGCCGCACGAACAGGGCCGTCCTCGATGGTCCGAGCGGCTCCCAAGGACAAGCACACCTGGCAAGGTCAGGGGTCGGTGGTCAATTCAGTGAATAGATCGCGAAAATCCAGCATTGATGTGAGCTTTCTTGCCATGGTGTTTTCTCTTAATCATGTTTTGTAATCGATGTTCAACCCCTGACGACATGTTGTTCCTGATAACAACATGTGTTCTCTTTCTTATCTGAACTTCACGACATGCTAAGCATGACGTTCAACCCCGCCCGTCCTGACGGCACCGATGACGATGCGACCGGACTCTGCTTCCTCCTCTCGGCCGTGAACGCCGAAGAGGCGCATCATGCATGGCATGGTCTGCATGGTCAATGAGGACCCCCCCCCCTTAGCCCCGACTGAGAGGAGATGGTGACTGAATCATCTGAATCCGAAAGAGCACAGTGACAGCACCCCTCCGTGTTTTGCACCACGAAAACTATCACAACCTTATCAGCTGTTGAGCAAGACACCATCAGGGTAGTAGTTCACGATGAGCTGGATAAGGGCTAGCTCCTGCACATTCCCTACACACAACAATGGAAGACCTTGTATATATATCGAATTCCAATTCCCTGGTGCCTCATCTGGCATTGTTCTCCTTGCAATGCCAACGAGCACCTTGACCTTAGGAAGCTTGGTTTTTCCCAAAACCAGTCATATCACTGATCAAAGTCTTCCAAAGGCATCCGCAGCTGCTTCCAGTGCAGTCCAGGGAGGCCACAAGACCAAGGACTGGCCCTGCAATCCGAGAAACCGAAGCCAGACATCACCAAGCATCACCAAACCCCTTTTCGTCACAACTTCTCACATTCTCAGCAAGCTTGAAAAAAACAAACACTGATTCTGATGATATCTGATGATCCTCACGGCACCGGGAGGGATCAACGAAACAAAACATATATTAAAGAAACAAACAAAGGAAACAAAGGAAACATCCAATTTCTTCCACACCCAAAAAATGAAAAAAAAACGGTGTCCATCCAGCGGAACGTGAGCTGATTCGTCGCCTCTTCGGACTTGAAGTCAAGCCTTGGGACGGTCGTCAGACGCGACGGTGGCTGTCGAACTAACCCAGCAGCAACGGTCATGGCAACCAAAGAAAGAAACACATCATTGGTTCATGTGGGTCTGTGGTGATACGTGGGCAATGGTTCTTCAGCTCTTTACAATCAAACCAACATCACCAAATCAACAGCCGGAAATCGGCATCTCTGGGCATCGGGGCATCGCTCTGCCGGCCCACCAGCGAAAGTCCGGCTGCGAACTGCCCAGTTTCAAGATCGACTCCAGCTGCGCCTCCCCCGAAGCGTCCGGACTCCGAGCTCCGAGCTCCGGGTTCCCCGACCACCGGAGCGTGTTCATTCCAAAGCCCGGCCCGGTGAGGGCGGAAATCAAGGTTGGTGGTGGCCGCATGCTTCACCAGGAAAGACCCGGCTGAGCGTTTCTGTGTTTTGGTTCGGCAGAAATCGGAAGTTCGGATCGAATTCGATGTGACCTCTGTCAAGTAGGACTCCTCCAGAATGTTCAATACCTTTCCGAAGCCGACCTGAAGTTGGTCGCAACATGCTGCCAATGCAGTTTTATGACGCAAAGAGCTCAAGCCCCAACTTCAACAGCCCCATCAGGACTGGTATGTCGTGTCTTGGCTCTTGTGCAAAGTGTCATAGTCATAGTCTTTTCTGGCACCATCCAATCTGCGTGACAATGAAATTCAACATAATTCAACTATGCCAAATCAAATGGACCAGCGAGGCCACTCGATTGCTCGCAAGAGCGATGGAAGAGATCAGCCACCACTGTTCGAAGCTACATCATGCTACATCTACATTGATTTCTACATGACATGTGCTAATGACATGTCCTATGTACAGGGGCTCGAGCGGACTTGGTGAGGACATCTGAGTGACCTGGCCCTCATCGAAAGCGGTGAGGCCCAGAAGCGCAGCCTTCACTAATGAGATCCTCCGCGCCACAGCAAGCCCATCGACACGGAATGTGCCCGATGATGCAAATGCGCAAATTCCCCGGACCCGGTCGGGCTCCCAAGCCTTCGGCCCAATGCCCTTTGGAGCCCCAACCTTTGAAACCAAGGCCTTTGGCCCAATAGCCACCGCCACGATAGACCCGAGCACTTCGTTGGATGGCTGCATTTCCCCCCAGGCTTCGCCAAGCTGCACGTGCATAGCTTTGGAGTTGCTGCAGCTCAACTCGGGTCCAGTTCCAGTCGTCCGGCCGCAGGGGCAACCAATCGCCAGGATGAATCACACAGCCTTCGGAGTCTTCGTTCCCTTCACAAAGTTCACCACAAGCCAAGCAGCGCCGGGCCGCCAGCGCCGCCGGTCGTCCCGACCGGTCCCGCTCCCACTTCCGCTGCTTTTGCCACCGTCGGGCAAAGAGCATCTTCCAATCGATGGCCACGGGAGTGGGAAGGCCCTCCGTTTCATCCGGAGTTTCATCTGCCTGAGCATCTGTGGGAAGATTGGAGAGAAGAGGGCACCCCAGTGGATTTGCACAAACCGACGAGTACATGGATGGAAAGTGCAAGGTGCACAGCTTTTGCCACAAGCTGCTCTCTCGAGTGAGATTTCCCCAAAGTGCCTTGGATGCCTTTTCACAATGGCAAACTTCAAGAACATCGAGGCAAGTCAATGCCCTCAACCACAACTCCGCAGGCAGTGGCAAGTCTCTGTCCAGCTCAAAGTCTCTGTCGAGTGCCCATGCGATCGAAGCTCGCGTCGGGGCGATCAGGGGAGAGAAGGAGCTCCCTCCCACCGCCTTCTTTGAGGTTCGGTGCTCTCGGTGTGGCACGACATCCCGCGCGCGGCCCTTCTTGTGAGGCATCGGGCTCGAGCGCCACGGCGAGCCGAAAGAACTGGCACTGCATGACACGACTTGACAAGGAGTCTCATACTGTTCCAAGTGATGTCATGATGCGCTGCTTGGTCTTAACAAGTCTGAACAGGTGTCAAGTGACCTTCAAAACCATTCTACAGTAAACCTTCTTTCAAAATCCTCCGAGCTGCCTTCCCACTCTGAAGCTCACTGAGGTCGCGACCTCTAATCTGTGCTTGAACAGCTTCTCGACCTTGCCTCAAGGATGAACCCGTTCAAACAGTATCATGATCCTATCATTCGCTGGCAAAAAGCATGCAGCATGCATGAGAAGACGACATATGTTCAAGTTCTTCCGCTCACCCAAGAGCCCACTGGATCCTACTGAGTTTGATCCCATCCATTCCACCATGTCTTGCCTGAACTAGCAGTCACAGCAGGAAGCTCCTTGCACCTCAGGAAGCAGCTCCTATCGAGACACACCCTCTCAAGGAGAGCAATGGGCTCTAGTGATGGCCTCCGCCCTAAGAGTGATGGCCTCCAACCTAATAGCGATGGCCTCCAACCTGATAGCGATGGCCTCCATTAATTACTCATCTCACTCTTCATCAACCCTGGAAAAAGCTACCGGTGTCATACCTGACTCGTGTCCCCTGTGTTGGGGGGCATGTGACACTCGCCTCTTAGCCGTTCAAGGTATTTTCAAAGAGTTCCAAGCTCAGGGTTGCGCCGTTTCCAGTACGCCTTGATTTCCTTGCTTTGAGGGAACAGGCCCAATAATGTCACTGCTGCTTGGTCAAAGCAAAACGCTGAGACATTTCTTACAAAACGGGAGATTCTCCAATGGCTCAATCTAAACAAAGTGTTTGAGCCCCTTGAGCTTCTGACTCTTCTGGTATGGGTTCCGGAATAATAAGACAAAATCTCTTCCCAGCTATATGCATGCCTTGGCCAGAAAAGTTGAATTTGCGTCCATTCTTCTCAGTGACAGTGAACAGCAGGCATCTGAGGCTCCTTCCCGTCGGCAGGATCTATTCGGCGCTGTTCGCATGGCCCCATGAGTCTCCGCTGTGATCATGTCTGAAAGTCACTGTTCACACAGACAAGGTTGTCTGTCTTGGTGACAACTGCGAGTCATGTCCGTTCCTGGTTGTTGTGTTTGCCTACACTATCGCTGAACCAGAACAAATCACCAGCGTCGCCAGCGTGAGCCAAATGGGGCTCGCCAAGGGAAGAAAGAGATCTGAAATCTGAAATCGACCTTTGCACCACCGGACGGCAAGTCAGTCCGAATGGCTTGGTA